AAGAAAGAAAGAAAGAAAGAAAGAAAGAAAGAAAGAAAGAAAGAAAGAAAGAAAGAAAGAAAGAAAGAAAGAAAGGGAGGGATAGCTGTTGCAGGCTTTCCCCTGAAAGATACCCATTCACTTTTCATAATTGGATCAATCAAATTCACCAGACTTGTATTTTTCAATTAGTTACAAAATGCGCTTCAGAATGCATCAGTATAAACAGATGGACTGTGAAACCCTCAAAACCCCTCTCCCCCCCATGTCTCCCACAATGCATTGCAAGATGTATGTGGCCCTTTGTGAGGGCAGCACAGCCATAGGTTGGACTGCTGTTTTCGAACAGGACTATAAGGCGGGGGTCTGGAAACAAGCCAATGAAAGGAGGAAGAGGAAAGGAATACAAAACACTAAGTAATTATTTTCATCAGCATTGCCAATACAGGGTCAGGAGCAGGCAGCTCATTGCTGATAGAACAGGGCTGAGGACTCTTGTGCTTGAGATCCAGTCACTGATAATGCCTTAGTGTGACAGTGCACAGCTGTGTATTTCGACTGGGGTCTCTTCTCAGTGCCTTTTTACATGGCATATCTTTGCCTATCTATCTGCATAATCTCCTCTGTGAAGTGCTTAAGCTGGGCTTCCCAATCTGAGCGCTATCCAGCTTTGTTAGGCGTTACAACTCCCAGCCAATGTGATTGAACTTCCATAGATCTAAGACTTGCTTAACCTCACGAAATTCTACAAAACTACAAGCATAGTACCTAGGAAACCTCACTCACGATTGTAGGTATGCTTGTATCTAGGGGAAATTTGAGTCAAATGAGAACCATAGTATATTTATCGCAAGGCATTTCAGTTTCGTGTCTTTTTGTATGGAACAGATTACAGTCTAATAAGAAGCATCCCTCTGGGGCTTTCCTGCATTTTGTGTTAATTAAATGCCATTTCAAGCCATACATCTCACTTTTATATGGGTACTGACTCTGGAGATCTTGAATTATGGAAGTAACCAAAAATATGCAGTATTTTATTCCTTTTGCTTCTTTACTTTGATGAAATAAATGTTCCAAACATTGTTTTCATATAAAATGGGTAGTTAAATGCTGCTATGTTACCCACCTCATAGTTTTGCTTTTACTACTGAACGGGCTTTAAAAATTCACTACCCCTTCTTCTCCTGTCACAGCTAGTTCTATAAGTACAACTTCTACAATATGCTCTTTTCATAACAGAGGCCCTTAATATGTAAAGTATACTATTCAAATTAGTTATTTTATAAAATATAACCACATATCTCTTTTCACACTCAGGTACATGTGTAAAGGAGCCATGGTGGCACACTGGTTAGAATGCAGTATTACAGGCAAACTCTGCCCACAGCCTAGAGTTCAATTTTGACTGGTTCAAGGTTGACTCAGCCTTTCATCCTTCCGAGGTCAGTAAAATGAGGACCCAAATTGTTGGGGAAATATGCTGATATTTGTCAACCTCTTAGAAAATGCTGCAAAGCACTATGAAGTGGTCTATATTGCTATTGTTAAGTGCTATATAGTGTACTGTATGCAACTAAAGTGCTATTGTAGTGTTTGATGTATAAGAAAAGGAGGAGGCAAGCAAAACCTACAACAATCAACCCTATCTTACTAATTTAGATTTGTGTAGAGCAGTGTTTCTCAACCTTGGCAACTTGAAGATGTCTGGACTTCAACTCCCAGAATTCCCCAGCCAGCGAATGCTGGCTGGGGAATTCT